AAGAATTCTTTTTACTCCTTTGGTGTCTCCTGCCTAGCCTCTTTATATGCATTCCTTCCCAAGCCCCCTGGTTGCACCATCCATAAGCTCCAACTGATCCAATACTCCACCATCTGCATCCTCACTCATACCAAACGTCACCACTATCTCCCATCTCCCAAAGGGTCAAATTCAAGATCCCCACCCTCAACTGTATATCCATTCATGACCTAGCACCCTCCATCATAGTGATCTTCTCCTGCCGAATTCCTCTGCTTGTTTGTCTCGGGCCTGCTGTCTGTCTTCTGCCCTCTCTGTGCCACCATCATTAGCCAAGCCTTCATTTGTTATACCCCTGACATCTGGACCTCTGAACCTCCGTCCCTCTACCATTTGTTTATTCCTACTGTTTTATGAATCCTTCCTATCTCTTCAACCTTTGAACATCTCACCTTCTCCCCTCTCCCTCACTTGGTATCTGACCTTGTTTTTGTAAAGCTTTCCGAGACATTATCCTACCCAAAGGCCACTATTTAAAACAAAAACAGAAAGAGCTGGGAAAACTCATTAGGTCAAGCAGCATCTATGGAGAAAGGAAAGTGAGTCAATGTTTCGGGTCCACGATCCTTCATCAGAACTGGGGTATGTTGGGAGGGAGAGATTTTTAAGGACAAGTTGAGAGGGGGAGGCAGGACAAAGATGACAAAGAAGACAAAAAAAGAGAGAGAAGACAAAGGAGAGAATGTATCAGTTGATGGGTTAAAGAGGTAAAACAAAAGGGTATTTTTAAAAAAGGCGGGGTGTGTTGAAACAAAACTGGGGAGAAGAGGTGTTAATGGTGCAGAACAGGCAACACACCAGAGTGTCTGGGGTGATGATTGTAGTGATAACAGAAGATAGCTCTTCTGGTAACAAAAGGTGGGGGGGTGGGGAGGGAAAGGTGAGCTGTTGCAGTCTGAAGTGGCTGAAATTGATATTGAGGCCAGAGGGCTGTAGGGTCCCTAACCGATAGATAAGATGTTCCTCAAGCTTTCGCTGTGGATCACTGGAACAGCATAGGAGACCATGGGTGGAGAGGTCAGACTGTGAATGGGACTGTGAGTTGAAATGGCAGGAGACCGGAAGATCAGGATTGACCTTGCGTACTGAAGGGTCGTGGACCCAAAACGTTGACTCACTTTCCTTTCTCCATAAATGCTGCCTGACCTGCTGAGATTTCCAGCTCTCTCTGTTTTTGTTTCAGATTCCAGCATCTGCAGTATTTTGTGTTTTGCCACTATTTAAATGCTTATTGTTGGTGGTGGTGTGATGGGAAGAAAGGCAAGGTGCACCAAGTTGTTGTATCAACAACAACAAATTACAGTTGTATAGTGTCTTTCACATCGGGAGGATGTCCCAAGGTGCTGGACAGTCAGGGATGTGAACCCGAGCTAGGGATTGTATCAGCTAGCATCAGCCAGCTCTTTGGAAATTATTTTTTAAAAACAATGTTTTAATTCCTAATGGCTGATTTCTTCATTGTTGGTGCCGTTTCCAAGACTTGGAGAGTTATGAAGTACAGCATATGATCTAGCAAATGCCATCAAACTCCACTCAGAAGGCACTCGATTGGAGGGAATAAAATAATCACACATTTTAAATATTTCCTTTGTCCTAAATATTATATCATTTAAACATGAGGTTGCACTCTTTGAACAAATATTGCAAATTAAGGCCAACAGTTCTCCAACTTGTATTAATAATAATAATAATAATAATCTTTGCATTTGATATAGCGCTTTTCACGTCGGGAGGACGTCCCAAAGCGCTTCACAGAATATACTGTAAAGTGAGTTGACTGTATATTTGTGGGCGAACACGGCAGCCAATTGCGCACAGCAATGTCCCACAAACAGTCATAGATTGAAAATGACCAATTTAATTATTGTTTTTGTTTTTTGGAGGGATTATTATTAGGCGTGTGGAGTAAGGAAACTTGCCCAAGGTTTCGCCCTCTGCCTGGAATTGAACTCAGGCCTCTTGCTTGCAAAGCGAGTGCTCTAACCACTGAGCTACAGGACTCCACGAGTATTACTTTAAAGGGAGATTAGATGTCTTTCAGCTCTCAGAGAATAATGGATGTCTGAGAGTAATTATAAGGCAGCGATCTAATGAGAGATTTGAGAGATGGTGCCGTAAACTGAGAGAAAGGTTCAAATGATTTCCAGAACCTCAGGATTAGATGATAGCTTTGAGATCACCCCAGGATATCTATTTGTTAAATACCCATAATAAAGTATAATGGTTTCATTCAGATTGTGGGCTGTTTTTCATGACAGCTTTGAGTGTCCATAGAGTGGCTGTGTGCCTGTACTCCAGTGATGACATTCACACTGAATTCCCTATGTTCGCATTGAAAGATTGCAGTTTTCATATCACGGCATGTTATAAAGAAATAATTTGAATTGATTACTATGATAACCTGCAACGTGTCAATATTATGAAGGCGATATCAATGTGTTGCTAAGGCTGACTGCATGAAGAGTGATTGTTTTCACATGTATATCAGGCAGATTCCAAGCTGTTGATAGTCACAAGTGCCTTGTTTGAACAGATGCATGGTAATTTGACTTTTGTTGCACTGAATCAGTTGTCACCATTGATCCATTTTGCTGACACAATGGTCACAACAAGTATGAGTTAAATGAGCAATAGAAGGTAAAACAGAAGAATAAAAGGAGTGTTTAGCTGAACAGAAGTTGTCATTGTTGGTTTTAATTGAAGCCACTGATGTCTTCCTTATTTGTATAACACATTCATGGAGGTGGTTCAGCCTGGTTCAGTTGGTAGTGCTCTTGCTTCTGGATCACAAGGTTATGGGTTTGAGTCCTGTTTCGGAGACTTGGATGTCATGTTCTAGGCTGATGCTCCAGGGGAGTATCGGATTGTTCTTCGATGATTTGTTGAACTGAGGTCCTGACTGTCTGTTCACATGGACATCAAAGAACCCTGACACTCTTTGAGAAGAGAAGGCTCTTAGCCAACAATTCTCTAGATAAATTGGTCATGAACCTCCTAGCTGTTTGTGCAATACTGCTGTGTGCAAATTGGCTGGCACATTCCCTGTCAAATCCACAGTCACTTTGTTTTATAGTAAATATTGTGAAGCACTTTGAGACATTTTGAAATTATTAGATTACATATCAAATGCAATTCTTATTATACAAACTCTTGAGATATATATTTCTGCTACCCTTTTCATTATCCAGTTTTAATTATCCCATTGGTGTCGTGTTTTGTCTTACTTTTCTTGAAAATTGTAGGCATCTTTTGAATGAAATAAATGATTAACAGTAATGATGATAATAATCCTTTCACGTCAAGAAGATGTCTCAAAGAGCTTCTATGAGGTGGATTTATGTGGGTCGGCAGCTGATTTCATCACACTGTGTGCACAGTGTGGCTTCCTCCATGCTAACAATGGCTGTCTTCCTGCTCATCAGGCCACTAGTCACTTCCTGTGTACCACACACATGCAACAGGTTCTACTGTAGATTAATATTACTTGCAGAAGTCCTTCTTCTGAACTATCAAGTGGCCTGGCATTATCACAGATGTTATTAAAATTCTATTTAGCTGAGTTTGATACTTTGCTGGAAACAAATGATTTCAATAGTGCAAATACCAATCGAATAAATAACCAGAACTTACTTACAGCACACTTATGTTAGGTTGTCTTTTAATACTCATGAAAGTAGTTCCACCTTTAGTCTTTATTGTCTTTTTCTCAAAGATGCTTTTAAATCAGTTTGTCTCTTTCCTGCTCTGGTTTTGTGAAATTTCTTCCCTGATGGTATCAAATAATCCCACTAAATGGTTACTGTCTAGCCATTTCATGTTGGAACATGATGTGCTCATTAGGACCTATCGTAATTTTGTTATGGTTTACTTTCTTGTTTTGTTTTTGGTTTCATGCCTTGTTTCATATTCTTTCTTTAATTTTAAAGTATTGTGTTTTTTTTGCAACGTCCTGTTTTTACTATTGAAGCCTATTACAAATGTCATCAAAATGAATTTATCCAGTGTAAGGATTTGAAATAAATTGTTACTAAATAAAATAAAACAGACTGTTTCAGGCTTGACAGTAAACTCAATTTGATTTTTTTAAACATTAATTTATACGAAATCCATGGAAGCTCTTCATGAGAACTTTATAGTTTCTAACATAATGTTCATTCAGTGGGTTACCTATTAATGTTCATGTCATTTCATAGTAGTTACCTGTCCTGCAATATGAATGAGTCTGATCAGAAGTGCTTATCCTGCTAAGTCTGAATTGTAACTTTTTTGGATTTATTTGGAAAATCTGAATTTAACTCAAATTCTTATAGTAGATGTAATGGTTGTAAAGTAGGGACAAAGGTGCTTTTGAGTTCATGGTCAACATGCTGCAACAAAGGTTGGCGATTCTAAATGTTTTAAACCTGCTTGTCCGATCAGATGAATCTTTAATACTTGGCAGCTGCGCTTTGGGATGTTAATGTGTCCAGTTTGCTGCCAATTTGAGTGGGAAGGGATGAGCGTCAGTGGTGATCGAGAGTCGTCTTTTGTGTTTTGGTAGTGAGAAATAAAGTGTGCACGAGAACAACGTTCTGAACTTAGGAGACTTTATGCATCAACTTCCTGGTGTTTGTTGCTTGCATGCGGATGGAAACCCTGGCACACTTGTGGATATTGCACAAGGCCATGTTCAATTCAGGCCTCTAAACCTTGAGCTTTCCGAATCTGAGTAAGATCTGTCCAATCTCTCATCTCTAGCCAAAAATCCAGCTGTTTTAAAGTGAAGAATAAACTTGTTGTTGCCAAGACCTCACAATGTGTATCGTGTGCTGACTAGAATTTCATATCAATGTCTTTGATTTCTTTTCATTACTGTGTGCTTCATTTTTTGTTTAATCATTTGAGTGTGTAAAATCATGTATACATTTTTCAAAATTCTTTGGTTCTATTTTTTTTCTTTCGTTTACCTCCATTGTCACTAGGTTACACTGCGGGCTGGACTCGGCCAGTCGGTTGGCTGATGAGCACGATCTGATAGCAGTATATGTGAACCGGCTGCAGAATGGCACACGGTCAGTGTTTGAGTTCAACAAACTGTTACATTTGGGGAACAATTTAGAAGCAAAAAAAAATGTTTTGAAATCCAGATGAGTTAATACCGGTGAAATAACTGAAATATCACATTTGGAAATAAGATGTCCAGAGCCCACTTGTGCCTTGTACTTTCCATGTTTTTCACACTCCTGGTAGAACAGCAAAAATAGACAGACGAATGACCTGCATTTTGAGCATCGCTGGCTGAATACCCATTTCTCATCTTCACCGTTTCTTATCTTTTAATGTACTATCGCTCATGATATGTAACAGAGTTTAAGTTCTGTTTTAGTCATATTTATTTTATTTGTTCTATTACTTTGAGACATTGAGAACCTATATTGCTTATAGCCACTTATCACATCAAAACATCTCAAAGTACTTCATAATTGTTCAGTGACGATTATGACTGCCATTTGTGCCATCTAGGTCCCACAGATAGCTGCGCGGTGAATGACCAACTATGATCATTGTTCAGGATATCAGGAAAAACGCCTCTTTTTGAACACTGTCATAGGATCTTTAACATCCACTTGAACAAACACAATGGATTTCAGTCTAACCTTTCACGAGAAAGAAAGCTTTTGCACAATGCAGCACTCCCACATATTGTACCGGAGTCCTGCCTAGAGTAGGAGATCAAGTCTTGCTCACTATCAAAGCTCACACAAATAAATGGCTAGTTGGGTGATGTGATGGGGAGCAATTGTTACCTGTGATCCAACATTCGTGCAACAATCTCTATCATTTTTGTTCGAAATATTTTCAGTGTGTCTTTCTCTTTTGGGGGAAAGGTGACAAGAGTGGAAAGAAAAATTACGTCAGAAAAGGATTCAGTAGGGAAGAAAATAAGAAAAAGTTCCACATGTGAGACAAAAAAACTGAAGTGGTATGGAACTAAGGAGAAATTGAGATTGTTGAGTAATTAGAAAATTGTGCTGATTTTGGGGCAGCAACCAGTGGAGTTTCACAGGGATTTGTTCTGGGTATCTTGCTGTCCACAGTATTCATTATTGATTGTGTTATGTTTCACTTTTTGTGCACTGGGAAAGAAAATTGATTGTACAGGCTGAAAGTAAGGGTAAAATGTTGTTTGATTTTAAAAAGGTCACCATCTGCTTGAAACACTGTAATACAATTCAAAGAGCAGGAATCTTCTTAATAAATCATCTAAACTGCAGAGGGATTCTAACATTTACAGAGGCAAAAAAAAGTCAGCGATTTTGACAGTGATTAATGAAGATTCCAAGATTCGCAATACAGTTGAGCAGGAATTGTAATTCCACTTTTATTCCCTACCAACTCGATGCTTTTTGCTGAATACATAGATTTCAACAAGGTTTCTAACACTTAACTGAACTGATAACTGAAATGTATTGCATTTCCATAACACAGATGTGTGCATTGCATTTTAACACCTGATATTTTGGGATTAACAGGATGTCATCACTCCTTTTTAAAAAAAACACCCTTGATCCCTCTAACGATTCGCTCACAAATTTCAAACTCATCTCAAACCTGCCCTTCCTTGCCAAAGTTTTGGAACGTGTTGTTGCAAATTAATTTCGCTCTCACCTCTCCCTCCACTCCCTACTCAAACCTCTCTAGGCCACGCCCTGCCAACAGCACAGAGACAGCGCTCATCAAAGTAACAAATGACGTTCTCTCTCTCTGTGATCAGGGCGCCCTCCACCTCCTCGTTCTCTTGCACCACTCTGCTGCGTTCGACACAGTCGATGACTCCATCTTCCTCCACCGCCTCCTTCCTCAACCACCTTAGTGGGACTGCAGTCACATGGCTCGAGTCCTACTGAACAAACCGCCAACAATACATCTCGGCAAATGTTTTGTCCTCCTGCCTCTGCCTGATTACCTATGGGATACCCCAGTGCTCCATCCTTGGCCCCCATCTTTTCTTCATCTGCATGCTCCCTCTTGACGATGTCATCCGCAGGCATGCGGTCAACTTCCACATGTTTGTAGATGACACCCAAATCAACTTCTCCTCCTGCTGCTGCGACTCCCAGTCCACTGCTGTCCTGTCAGTTTGTTTCACAGACTCAAGGCCTGGATGAGAGCAAACTTCCTGCAGCTGAATGTCAGCAAGACAGAAGTCATACTCTTTGGCTATCATCACGTCTTCTGGCCAGGCCGCTTTTTTCCACTTGTCTGCCTCTGTTCGTACCTCACAACAAACACAGCTGAAACCCTTGTCCACACCTTTGTCACTTCCTGGCTGGACTATTCCAATACGCTCATCGCTGGTTTACAGATGGGTCTGAAAGACTCCCAGGCACTGCTGATGATAGAACAGCCAGCTTTGCTCAATGGCAGGAGTTGGACGGGCAGACCAGTCACTAGGGGCTGAGATTCTTCCCACTTAACTCCTGTTAACCCTGCAAGCCCAAATCCTAATGGGTAGGATGGTGTTAGTTGGTTGAGCAACAGGAAGCTTGACAGACAGTGCTCATGGTAGCAAGTTTTGCAGTTTTAGCTGACAGACAACAACAGTTTCCCAACACATAGCAACAAGAACTTGTATTTACAATACAATACAAAATTACATTTGTGTAGCGCCTTTCATGTCGGGAAGACACTCAGGGATTTGGACCCAAGCGAGGGCGCAGGGCGGGTTGGGATCAGGGGGAGTGGAAGGCAGGGAGGGTAGGAGGGTGGCTGAAGGCATGGTCGCAGGTGAGGGTCTTGAGACGTTCCTTGACGGAGACAAGGGAGGGAGTGAGGCGAAGGGAATGTAGAATGGAGTTCCAAAGGGTGGGGGCGGAGAGGCTGAAGGCCCAACCGTCGATGGTGGTGGGGGACGTGAAGCAGGCTGAGCGGAGGGAGCAAACAGGTAGATATGGGATTAGCAGGTCACAGAGGTAGGATCTACTTTAATTACATCTAAGGGGTCCTTAGTCTTGACTCCTGCCAACTTGCACCTAATACGTTCACGAGTTAGGTAATAATAATAATATAATAATCTTGCATTTGATATAACGCTTTTCACGTCTTCTAGACATCTCAAAGCTCTTCACAGAATAGACTGTAAAGTGAATTGACTGTATATTTGTGGGCGAAATGTGGCAGCCAATTGGGAACAGCAGTGTCCCACAAACAATCATGGATTGAAATGATCAATTTATTATTTTTTTCTTGAGGGATTATTATCAGGTGTGTGGAGTAAGGAAACTTGCTCAAGGTTTCACCCTGTTTAATCCTGATGATCAAGGTAAGCGAGGTGAATCCATTTAGGGAGCTGCAGAGAAATTTCCATGTATAGGTGGCATGCATATATGGAACTCTATCTGGTTTCAATACTTTTAAGTATCGTTATGGGTTTCAGACAGCTGATTGGGCCAAAAAAAGTAGCTGTATAAGCAATAACTGATTGATATGCAGAATTTTTAATTTCACACCTTTCCTTAGATTTATATTTAACAACAGTTGCTAAACAAATGCTATAAAGTGATATGAACCACACAGTTAACCGTTTCCTCTTGATGCAACTAAGGATCTTATAATCTTCACCCTGAGATTGTGACTATTTTTAAGATGATTGTGACCATTTAGAGATTTGCTGGTAATGCTATGCCTGGAATTTAAAATGTAATAAAAACAATGTGTAAGGACTACTCTAAAGTAAGCAAAGAAGCCTATCTAATTTCCTTCACAATACATGTTCTCTCATATTGCATTTTCACTTTTGATACAAATCATAGAATAGCCCTAACAAACAAACAGTGCATAATTTGAAAGACTTGATGGCAGTGGCACTAGGCAGTCAAGGTGCAGTAGCTCAAGAATAAAAGCCCTGCAGTCTTATTCAGACAGTTTGTGCAACGACTGTGTACTTGTTGTGTAACAAAGCTAGGTTTCTAGTTCGGGCACTTCATCTAGGAAGAAGGGAAGAATGATGATGATGCAACATTTTGGACACTAGACAGTATTGATTGATGCCCAGTGGAAGGAAATTTAGGGTCATGGACCAGAGAAATATTTGGGAATGAAAATTTAACACTGAATTTTTAGCTTGAAAGTCCATTGGTCCTGAAATCACAAGGGTTCTAGACAGTAATATATACATTTCTAACAATATTCATTTTGCTGTCACCATGTGGGTGTTACCATTAAGGATCCTGGATAATAAGTTCTTCTGACAAGCATAAAATATTGAGGGCCAGTGGAAATCAAAACTGATGAGTTTTGATCGTTCCCCTTGCGATGAACATACACTGAAAATATGCAGCATAAATTTAACCCCTTAAGTTCAGAATTTATTTTACTTTTTAAAAAATATGTTCTCTTCAAAGAGAATTTTTGATCTCATTCATAAATACATAATGCATTTGAATCAACACACACAGCAAAAAGCTTTCATTTAGTTGAATGAGCCATCTCATTCATTGGAATTCCTTTAGTGAAATAAGTTAGTAACCTTTACCATTTCCTACCTGAGGCTTTCATTATCAAGTGTGATTATAACATTAATAGGGTGAAATCTGCGATCCACATATATTTATCAAATCAAATAGGCTGGCGGCAGTCCCCCAAAATGTCACTGAACAGGATTGTGGTTCCTGAGTCATATTTTAAGTTGGCATATAATTGGAGACAACTGGCAAAAGGATGATTTGTTTTTGTCACAGTGACCTGAGACACATTATTCATACCAGTTTAGATGGCAGAATTGCATAGATGTTTTGAGAAATTGAACATACAACATATCTCACATGACATATGTGGTCTGCATGGAAATCTCTGTAGGCCTGATGTGGAAAGAGAATGAAACTGGTATATTGACCAGGTTCAAATGAAACTGAGGCATTTAATGCCCATTAAGTAGAAAGAACTATGCCCAAATTCAGCACCTCATCTTTTGCACCACTTTCTCCTTCTTACATGGTATAAAGTAAATGTGTCATTAGAAACTCATGCTAAATTCAAAGAACACAAGAACTAAATTGTAAAATACCTAAGAATAAACTTAGATTTACTGACTAGTCAAATTCCCAGTAATAAGTTGCAAATACTTGTTTAATAAACTTGTACTGATTCTACCCCGGTCATTAATCCTTCACTGTGTGAATGCCATCACACAGTAGTTACCTAGGCCATACTAACAATTAATATCCACAATGATGTCGTTGGTACCCAAAGCGAGATTGAATGACTTCATTCAGTTTTCTATTAAGTTTCCTATAATAAAAGTAGCAGTGATTTCATCAAAGCAGTGATGAAATTGCAACATTTGGAAGACTGTTATAATATACTTGGACTGTCTAATAGTTCAGATTATCATTTGAAATCCCTTGATCAGAGTTGTGCCTGAATGGTGACCCTGTTAAATCTTTTTCTTAGAAATCTTGGCCAGAGTATTCTCTTCCAGAATAAGTATATTCATGGCTGAATGCTCAAAAGTACCATTAGTTATAGCCATTAATCTAGATATTTTTCAATATCAAGGTCAGGCTGTAAGAATTTTGATGGGGAATCATTGATTGCAAGCCTGCTGAAATGAATAGAACTGGAAGAGGCTTATTTTTCTTATTGAAAGGGCATGAGAAATTCCACTTGTTTCAACAAAATTGTGATTCTCAGAATATAGGTCAGTCTTGAAGGTCTGCTGAACACATGAGTTGTAATCATTCCAGTGACAATTATTTTAATTATCCAATTATAAGAGGGTTGAATAAATCAGACAGACCATTTGGAACCTTTATTGCTTCAGATCATATTTGGTAAGATTTTATTTTTTATGTTTTGTTGGAAAATCTCCTATTCCCATCTTCTGCCACCCTTCCACCTAGCAAATTCAATATTATTTGCGCTTCAGAATATCTCAAGAACTTTACTAAAGTCCTAGAAGAGCGCAGAGGGTGCCTGTGAGGTGCTCTGAGCCCGGCCCCACTTTTGCTTTTCGGGAACTTTGAGTCATTTTCATTCGACGAAAAGAAAACATCTTGCTTAATTCAAGTTTGGCAGAATAGACTTTTGGAGTGAACTCAGAACCTCTGCCAGCTTGTTCAGCCTTAATCTTCCATTCCCATTCCCAGGCAAAAAACAGGACAAACTTAGAAGATTTGCTCCTGAAAACCAAACGTTCTTCTTGACATTTCACAAACTGATGCAGGTTATGAGTTGGAGCAGAAGCTGCAGGTTTTTACTTTGGTCATTCATCATGGGAATCTCTTTTTGCTACATGGGAGTACATTCAAATGCATTTATCACTGTCCTTTAAAGTCACAGAAGCAAAAAATCCTCCCATTATCTATTTGAGTATATTCTGAATCAATACAAGATCATGCAATGTGTTTCTGGTTCAGTCTTTCACAGCTTTAGGAATTCTTGTTCATAATTCTTAAAAGTTTTTTTGTAAATATATTATCATTAACTTTAAAATAAGAGACAAAATATTTTGCGTTGTTTGATGAGCGTCGGGTTGTTATGTTATTTATATACTGTAGTAATTGATGTTGTAGAATATTTGCATAACAATTACAGCTAATTTCTGGTGGATTGTATAATAATTTCTCTTTATTTGTGTTCAGTGTCCTCGATAGTCCGAGCAGATTGGATGAAGAACACAGGCTGATAGCGAGATATGCTGCTAGACTGGCTGCAGAAGCTGGAAACACAGTAAGTACTGATTGCTGCCTCTTTCAGTTTATCTGTTTCTCTCCAGCAATTACATCCTTTAAGTCTCCAGTGTCCAACAAATGACAGCCATCCAGTGCAAAAACTATGCATGACTGGGTTTGTGCAAAGTGAAGAATGATTAGCTGGCAGAGATACTCTGTAAACTAATTGAGGGCTTCAAGTAATAACATGAGTTTTGAAAGTGAAGTATGAGTAGTTTATAATAGTCACCTGAGAACACTGTTGAAGGGGGAACTAAGCGAGAGAGGAGATCAGCATCTCTGAATCGCTTGTGTAAACAGCTGAACCTACTGGGGATAAAATACTTGTGGTCAAAGTTGCACTGTTGGGTGAGTTGGGATCTTCTTAACAAAAAGTTCAGTCATGTCTAGAACCTTTTACTGTAAGTGGATGGAGAAAGGCATGGGATGAGACAGGACTAAAAAAAATGTCCCAGATGATTTAGATAAATAGGATAGAGTTTAATAGATTGAAAGTAAGACATGTTCTACAGCCATTTCTCATGAGCCTTTTTTTAAAAAAATTCACAATTAGATTTTGGGAGAGGGAGGCTGCCATTTCAGGTCAAACTCTAAAAGAATTGTTGTCAAACACTTGCCATCCATCGGGAATAATTAGTTTAAATAATAAGCATTTGTCAGAACTGACCGAGGAGATTTATATATCTGATTTATATCTTGAAGGCTCGGTTGTGTAACCTGGAAAATGTGTTAGTCCCATCTGAAGCTGCGTGCTGGAACTCTGGTGCTATCTGACACTTGAGTTACTCATCTGAGGAAGGCAGGATTTTTTAGTTTTTAAGCACAAAAGCTGGACAAAATGTATTTTCTGCTGGCTGAGTACAACAAAAAAGTCTTATAAATATAGTGCCTTTCATGTAGGGTAAAATCTTGGAGCACTTTAAAAGTACGGGGGCAAATGGTCAGGTATGTGTTAACAAGAAATATTTGTGTAAGAGTGAGTGGTAATAGAAGGTAAACCTCACAGCATTTATACTCCTGTGACAGCTCTGACCAGCCAAACCTGCTGCACATGTCACCCAATTTGCAGAGTTCCATGTTAATAGTTGTTGGAGATTATGGATTGGATATTGACTCCTTCATCGTGACCATTTTGATGGGAGACTGGAGGAAGCAAAGGGTCTTTGATAGGGGAACTAGGTCAAAATGAGGAGAGATATTAAGCTCTCCTGTTCCTCAGATAAATTAATGATCTGAATTCACAGACCCAGTGTCAGATAATTACATTTACAGATGACACCAAGTGAGTTTGGATCCCCAGGTGTCATACTCGGGCTGCAGAGTGCTCTGATCAGGCTGTGTCTAGAGAACTACTACGGCTCTGGTCACTGTGGCGTAAGGGGGCTGCCCACACCCTTGATGAACTGCAGAGGAGAGCAATGAGAATTAATCCCCAGTGTTAGAGAAATGAGTTCTGAGAAATGATTAGACAACTCAGGAGGCCCTCAGTGAGGTTTATAAATTTTTTAATGGGATTGAAAAAGTAAACCCAGATCAATACAGACATGATGGGCCGATTGGCTTCCTTCTGTGCTGTATGATTCTATTAATACTTTGGGATACAACAAGGCAATAGAACACAAGGATTTAGAGTTGAAAACCAATTTCAGCACAGATACCAGAAAGTTTATCTTTACGCAGAGCATAATCAACAACTGGAACAGGTTGTAAGGAAAGGTGACAGAGGCCAGGACGTCAAAATATCTGCATTGCTACATAGGCCAGTGAGGAGCTGAGTAGGCTGGGAAGGGGCTGATAGACCAGCGAGGAGCTGGGTGGGCCCGAAGGGGCTGATAGACCAGCAAGGAACTGAGTGGGCCAGGAAGGGGCTGATAGACCAGGGAGGAGCTGGGTGGCCCGGGGAGATGCTGGGTGGGCCGGGGAGGAGCTGGGTGGGCCGGGGAGGAGCTGGGTGGGCCTGAAGGGGCTGATAGACCAGCAAGGAGCTGAGTGGGCCAGGAAGGGGCTGATAGACCAGGGAGGAGCTGGGTCGGCCAGGAAGGGGCTGATAGACCAGGGAGGAGCTGGGTGGGCCGGGGAGATGCTGGGTGGGCCGGGGAGATGCTGGGTGGGCCGGGGAGGAGCTGGGTGGGCCGGGGAGGAGCTGGGTGGGTCGGGGAGGAGCTGGGTGGGCTGGGGAGGAGTTGGGTGGGCCAGGATGGGAGTGGCTGGGTTAGCCATCGAGGAGGCATTAGAATAGTCAAGCCTGAAAATGATAAAAGCTTGAATTAAAGTCTCTGTAACTCAAGGGAAGAGTTAGTGATGGAGGCAGGCAATGTTGTGAGGGGAAGAAAGATGACAGGTGCATGAGTGCTCAGATGACGTTTAACCAGGAACCTAAGCACAGAGACAGACAACACTACTGTTGGAAGCCATGGGTCAAAAGGTAGATAACTGAAACAGAATAAGTCACATGTGAAAGGAGATAGAAGCCAGGAAAAATGATTAGAGTAAAGGGAATGAATTTGAGTGTTGCAGATGGAAATATGAAAAAGAAATGAATGGAAATTTAAATTTAATTTTAAATGACAATCAAAGTGTTCTTGTTCAATAGAAATGAATGAAACAGCTATTATCTTTCCAATATATTTAATAGGAATGTTTAAAACTAAAGTTTTGGGTGTATTTTTTTAATATAGTAATCCTTGCATTTGATACAGAACTTTATCATGTAATTTGAAACGTCTAAAGGGCTTAATGAGATTTTACTGTGAAGTGTGAATAAATATGTATTTGTAAGTAAAAGTGACAAGCCAATTTGCACAAACAATGTCCAGGAAACAGCCATGAATTGAATGATCAATTTTATATAATATTACATTCTGGAATTATATACTTCAAGCCTTTTTTTATTCATGGGCTCTGTACATTAACCCAGGTTTAATGAATCTGTGTAGATGAAGTGGAGCTGCCTCATTTAACTTTGCTGACTCTCCAATTGGAAACTCTTTGATGTTAGTAATTGTTTCCGTGCAGACTTATTCCAGTAATTATCTTATGATCTCTGAGGCTCCATGAGTCTATTGCACCAACGTTGCCTGGCTCCATTAATTCCCATTCTCAACAGATCGAGATCAATAGAATTCTTTCTTTCTGTTGTTCGTCAGCCTGGCACAGTGGTAGATCTCTCACCTCTGAGTCAGGTTTTGGGACGTCCTCCCGATGTGAAAGGCACTCTATAAATGTAATTTTGTTGTTGTTGTTGTTTGGGGTCTTGGGACATCCTCCTGACGTGAAAGGCGCTATACAAATGTACAACAACAACTTGGATTCATATAGCGTCCTCCACGCCGGACGGCGTCTCAGAGCGCTTCACAGTAACGGATCCCAGGGCTGAGCCAGGGGGAGGGGGAGGAAGGTGACCAAAGGCGCGGTCGAAGAGAAAGGTCTTCAGCAGAGACCTGAAAATAGGAGAGGGGGCGAGGCGAAGGGAGTGAGGAAGGGAATTCCAGAGCCTCAGGGCATAGTGGCTGAAGGCACAGCCACCGAGGGTAGAGCGGAGGACTCGGGGGACGAGGAGGAAGCCAGACCTGGCGGAACAAAGGCAATGGGTACTGTTTTGAGGAGATAGGAGGTCAGAGAGGTAGGGGGTGCAGAGGAGTGGAGGGATTTGAATACAAGGGTGAGGATCTAGAAGTTGATCCTCTCTGGGATGTAATTTGTTGTTGTCAAGCTCCACGGCGGACTTGGAATCGCAGTTTAATGAGGTCCCATCTGCCTGTTCAGGTGGATATTAATGATCCCATAGCATTATCCCTAAAATAAAATTGGCTGTTTGTGAAATACTATTGTGCACAACTGGCTGCCACATTTCACCACAAAATACGCAGTGTATCCACTTTACAGTATATCATGTGAAGCACCTTGAGACATTTCAATATTATAATAAGCAGCTTTATCAAATGCAAGGATTACTATTATTACAACAACAACAACAAGATTCCATTTATAGAGCACCTTTCACGTCAGGAGGACGTCCCAAGGCGCTGGACAGTTGGGTCAGGACCCGAGCCTTGGGGGGAAAATGGTCAGGGTGAGGGGAGGGAAGGGAGAGAGCGAGGAGGGGGGAAATGGTCAGGGTGAGGGGAGAGAAGGGAGGAGGGGATAGAGAGTTGAGAGGGAAGCTGAAGGCACGGTCAAAGAGAAAGGTCTAGAGACCGGCCTTGAAGGAGGAAAGGGAGGAAGCAAGGCGAAGGCACTGGGGAATAGCGTTCCAGAGCCTAGGGGCCGAGAGGCTGAAGGCCCGGCCACCAATGGTAGGGCGGCTGGGGCGGGGAAGTGGAGCAGACCGGAGCCAGAGGAACGGAGGGTACGGGCGGGTATGTAGGGGGATAGTAGGTCAGAGAGGTAGGAGGGAGCAAGGCCGTGAATGGCATTGTAGGTGAGGATGAGGATCTTGAATTCGATCCTCTGGGGGATGGGGAGCCAGTGGAGGCGAGCGAGGGTGGGAGTGATGTGGTTGCGAAGCCTGGTGCGGGACAGTACACGAGCTGCAGAGTTCTGAATGACCTGCAGCTTGTGGAGGGAGGTGACGGGAAGGCCGGCGAGGAGAGAGTTCCCATAGTCCAGCCTTGAGGTGATAAAGGTGTGGACCACAGTTTCAGCAGCGTGAGGGGTGAGGTAATGCCGTAGTCTGGCGATGTTCTGGAGGTGATGGAAGGCGGTGCCAGTTTGGCGCGGATATGAGGAAAAAAGGACAGCTCAGGGTCGAACAGAAAGCTGAGGTTCCTGACTGGCTTTGAGAGGTGGAGAGTGCAGCCTTGGATGCTGATGGTGTCAGCGCCTGAGGTGCGGAGGCGCTGACGTGAGCCAATCAGGAGGCCCTCAGTTTTGCGTATATTGAGCTGAAGAAAGTTGTCTCTTGTCCAGGACTCAATGTCGGACAGGCAGGCTGTCAGGCCATCGGTGGTCGTGGGGTTGAGGGCAGAGGAGGAAAGGAAGAGTTGAGTGCCATCCGCATACATGTGGAAGTTAACCCCATGTCTGCGGATGATGTCACCAAGGGGGAGCATATAGAGGGTGAAGAGGAGGGGACCGAGGACAAAGCCCTGAGGGACACCGCACAAGACAGTGCGGGGGGTGGAGGAAAAACCATTCGCGGAAACAAAGTGAAGACGGTGGGAGAGGTACGACCTAAACCACTCAAGGACAGGGCTTTGAAGGTTGAGGTGGGAGGACAAGCGGTGGAGGAGGATAGCATGGTCGACTGTATCAAATGCTGCCGATAGGTCGAGGAGGATGAGGAGGCAGAGGGAGCCCTGGTCACAGATGGTCAGGATGTCATTGGTGACCTTGACCAGGGCAGTTTCTGTGCTATGGGCAGCACGGAAACCCGACTGAAGGGGTTTGAATAATGAATGGGTGGAGAGGAAAGAGCACAGCTGGGAGGCGACAACTCGTTCCAGGACCTTGGATAGGAAGGGTAGGTTGGAGATGGGCCGGTAGCTTGATAGCTGCGATGCATCAAGTGAGGGTTTTTTCAAAGTGGGACTATTCAAACTATTATTATTACCAAGATTCTCATTCTCACCTTTAAATCCATCCACGGTCTCGCCACACCCAACTTCTCTACCTCTGTAAACCCAACTAACCCTGCCACTCCCTTCGTTAAACAGGCATCAACTTACTTCACGTCCCCAACTTTGCTTGTCCTACCATCGGTGGACGGGCCTTTTGGGCATTTCTCTGGAATTCCATCCTGCAATCCCTCCGACTTGCTCCCTCTCTCACCTTTTTCAAGATATGTCTCAAGACCTACCTCTTTAACCATGCTTTTGATTATTACCTCCCACTCCCCGCCCCCAGACTCCCATCCCCAGATTTAAATGCCCCACAACTATTGTTAAATTCCTTGCGACACCCTCTCGACTTGAAAGGCACTATATAAATGTCAATTTGTGTTGTTTTCTATGCTTAGATTAATTCAGAGTGCAGGATTCACAGCATTAGTCAGAGGTCAGTATTAGGTAAATGGATCCCTCCTACATGTGATTGCCAATGGAAAGAATGTAGGCGTCAATATTTATGACTGTGTTACTCAGTGATTGAAAGATCCCTGTTATGAGACATTGAAAGCAGTGTAATTATTTTCTTTCGTGACTGATCTGTTTTTCCCTCTCCGACTGATTTCAACCTTAGTGGTTTACCGCACTGTGGGCCATGGCCCTTCATCTAGGTTTCTTACTTTAAAACAAAGTTTCTATAAGTTTATTGTGTTGTTAGTGATAGTAGAATTTATTCTTTATTAAGCTAGAGCTTTATTTTTTAGTGATGTTGGCCACCTAAATCAGTGTCGAGGAAGAAATGAGGATACGACAGGTGGTGGTAAATATAGAGTCCAGCAGTACTTCAGTCTGCTGATCTTGACATGCATAAATGACTTAGGCTAAATCATCCATCTTTATATATGTTTAATAAAGAGAGGAAATTGAATCATGCAGAGGGGTTGATCTTCTGACTGTCTATGCTAGTTAGTTGATCTCAACTGGGTCATCAGTGATGTACTTCAATTTGCTCCATGGTTTACCTAAGAGGTTGGATTGGATTCGGTGAATTCCAAAGGCCACCTGGAGGGTATGAGGAAGGAAGGATGGGAGAGTGAAACAGTTGGCCACAAGAGATGCCGATTAGCTGTTTCACACTTGGAATGAGCATTGGAGAATGTCTGGAAATTAGTGAGTTGGTTATAAATTCAAGTGAGCCAGTTCCTTCCCAAAAAGAGGGAGAACATTTTAGGAGGAGAACCACTACACAGCACTGAACACCTAGTAGAAATAGGAAATTTATATCATGAGGTAGGAAGAACTCAGAAACGACAAACTTCTTTAATGAGTAAAATGGATGTGTGCTGGCTCAAGAAATAGAATCTGCATTCCACTGTGATTTGAGTGCAGTTTAAAATCCTTTAGAAACTAAACAATCTTCGATATAATTTATGAGTCTGCATTAATTTGGGCTATTTCAAGCATGGCAGGTGCTTCATCCTCATTAGAGCTAGAGAATTGTCTCTGACCTCCAATCTTCAAAATTCATTTCATGTTAATGAAGAATTAGAGCTCACGTTCGGCAAAACACAAGAACGTCCTATAACAATGAGACGTAATGCTGCTGGAAGGTTTTTGCACTCTAACAAGATATAAAAATAAACTCAAAATGAGAATATTAACCAGAACATGGTGTGAGCACTGAAGAGCATAGTGTACGTTACGATTTCCACATATTTATTAGACTGGGGAGTGGGGAGGAGGGAGAGGGCGGGGGGAAATAATTTGTAAGATTTTTGAAAGGCACATGTACCTCGTGCGTCTCACACCAACCCCCCAGAACACAGGCAGTAGAAACCTTCTTTTGCTGCGATCCAAGTTCAAAGGAAAATGAGATTGTGTCAAAGTAGAATTCTGTTGGGTGGGCAGAAGCCCCCTACACAGACACTCTCAACACAATGTCAGCTGAGAGCAGATTAGCAGAGGCAGCTGCGTTCATTGTGATTTAGAATTTTTTTAAATTTTAAAATGAAGGAGTAAGTAATGAATTTTACATTCAAGAAGTACATTACATTTATCATGTTTTTCGGAGATGATTCAGTGGGGGGCGGGGAGGGTTGCAGTGGCAGCTGAGCGATGGTGGAAAAGACTTACAATAACAACTATTTGGAGCCCACTTACTGGGTGGATCAACTCTTGCACAATTGTCGATGATAGATGCTCTGTGTTAGAAACAACAGAAGCTGGTACGATGGTGTTTAAACCTAATGTTTTTTAAAATGACTGAGCACTTGGTTTGAAAAATATAGTTTGTTTGAGCTGGTGTCTGGGCAGAACAACAAATGATATTGACTCCAGGGACCACCCATTACTAACACTTATAATAATAAACCTTGCATTTCACATAGTGCCTTATCAGGTCATTGAGATGTCTCAAAGTGCTTCACAGAATGTACTGTAAAGTGAATTGACTGTATATTTTGTGAACGAAAATACAGTTTCACTGGGGTGTCAATTCACATGTCTGATGTTGATCTGTGGTTACTGAAAATACAGTAAACTTTTTGTTTTGGGCACAGACCAGCCAGATACATGTACACAGTATGCAGGAAGCCACCCGGTTCCATGCATCCATAATTTCCATGCTGGAAGCCGAAAATATCACTGATAACTTGATGATCAAGAAAGGCGACTTTGATTTAATGTCTCATCCAAAAGACGGCTCCTCTCGCAGTGACCCCACTCCCAGCACTTCATTAGAGTGTGGGCTTGGTCTACATAAGTTTAAATAAAGTTCCGAAACCTTGTGACTCAAAAGCTAGATTGCCTGGCCGCCATTCACCTGCCGTGTCTTCTATCTGTGGAAATACGGTCAAAGACATGGGTTTCTAATCAGGTTTTGAAAGTGAAGAGGGAGCAGGCGAAGTAGAGGGATTTTAGAAGAGAGTTTGAGAAGGTGGGGGCAAAGTGGCTGAAAATGCCCACCAATTGGTCGCCATAAAACAGGCCAGAGTTGGCACGACAGAGGGAGTAGCTGGAGAGTAGAGCTGTGGGAGAGATTAGAGGTATGGTGGGGCAAAGTCTTGGAGGTATTTGAACTTAACGATGAAGATTTTTTAGTTGCTCTGCTGGGGGAGTAAAGACAGGCAAGGATGGGCAAGATGGGCTCATGGAGCCCAGTGCTCTGAGTGAAGGACATTATACAGATGCAAGTTGTTGTCAGTGGTGAACAGTGCAGGAGAGGATGAGAGTTGCAGTGTGCTGGTTGTTCTCCAGCATCTCGAGCCATAGGCCAGCGAGTTGGGTGTTGGACAAGTCGGAAGAAAATTCACTAAGTAAAACAGAACGACAGAGTGCAATCGGTACCACTGATCTCTTCCATTCCATATACAGTGACGTACTGAGGAGATGCGCAGCTGGAAAAGGGACTAAAATGAATGGAAAGCCCAGTTTTTGAGTCATGTTTGTTCACTTTTTTTCTTTTTAGCAGCGATCTGCCTCGGAGCTGGCCTTCAACTTTGATGCCAACAAGCAGCAGCGGCAGCTAATTGCAGAACTGGAAAATAAAAATAGGTAAGAAAATAAGAGTCAACATAAATGGAGTAACATTGGTATTGGAGGCCACTTTATAAATACCTGTGCGTGAATAACCTAAAACTATACATAAGAGCTTCAGAAGAAGTATGTCTTGCCTGATCAACGGTAAAGCTGAAGGAAAAGCCGTTTGTGGAAACAAAATGAAGACGGTGGGAGAGGTATGACCTAAACCACTCAAGGACAGAGCCTTGAAGGTTGAGGTGGGAGGACAAGCGGTGGAGGAGGATAGCATGGTCGACCATGTCGAATGCTGCCGATAGGTCGAGGAGGACGAGGTGGCAGAAGGAGCCCTGGTCGCAGATGGTCAAGATGTCATTGGTGACCTTGACCAGGGTGGTTTCTGTGCTATGGGCAGCACGGAAACCTGACTGAAGGGGTTTGAATAATGAATGGGTGGAGAGAAAAGAGCACAGCTGGGAGGCGAGAACTCTTTCAAGAACTTGGACAAGAAGGGGTTGTTGGAGATGGGCCGGTAGCTTGGTAGCTGCGACGCATCAAGGGAGGGTTTTTTCAAAGTGGGAGTGATGATGGCAGTTTTTAGGGGAATGGGAACAGAGCCAGAGGAGAGGGACAGGTTGATGATGTCTGTGATAGGTGGGGCAAGGAGGTGGAGCTGAGAGATAAGGAGTGGAGTGGGGATGGGGTCAAGGGAGCAGGTGGTGGGTTTCAGGGATAGGATGAGTTTGGTGACAGAGGGTGGGGAAACGGGTTCGAAGGTGTGTAGGGGAGGATGGGTAGGAGTCGGAGTGTGGGAGGGAAGGGGTGGGGGGTGGGTGGAAGTTGGAGGGGAAGTGACCGCGGAGCGGATTCCCTTGATTTTGGATTCAAGGAAATCCAGCATCTCCTCGCAGTGAAGGTTGGAGGAGATGACCTGCGCGGGGTGGCGGGGGGGACGGAGGAGTCGGGATGTGGTAGAAAACAGAAGCCTGGGGTTGTTCTTCGCCTCCAGGATTATCCTGGAGTAGAAGGACGACTTGGCCGAGGCTAGAGTGGAGCGGTAGATTTTGAGGAGGTCCAGCCAGATTTGTCGGTGGACCGTTAGGCCAGATTTGACGCAGGTGCGTTCAGTGGCCCGCACCTGGCTCTTCAGTGAGCGGAGGTGGGTGGTGAACCACGGGGAGGAGCGAGAGTAGGAGACAGTACGGAAGGTGATGGGGGCAAGAGTGTCGTGTGTGGAGGAGAGGGTGTTGTGGAGGAGGGTGAGAGCAGAAGAGGGGTCAGTGAGGGTTGAAGGCCAGAGGGAGAGGAGTTCAGAGGACTCCAAGGCAGCGGTTAGGGATTGTGGGGGTAACTTCTTCCAGGGCGGTAGAAGATGGTGGTGGGTCTGGTGGAGGTGGGGAGGGGGGTGGAGGTGGTGAAGGAGATGAAGTGGTGATCGGAGACGGCCTTGTCGGTAATGGTGACATCCGAGACACTGAGGCCCCGGGTGATCACCAAATCGAGTGGGTGGCCGTGACTGTGAGTGGGGGAGTTGATGTGGAGGGAGAGGTTGAGCGAGGAGAGCAGGGAGGAGAAGTCTGAGGAGATGGAGCAGGAGGGGGTGAAGTGCAGGTTGAAGTCGCCCAGGATGATGAGGCGATCAGAGCAGAGGCAGAGAGATGTAAGTAGGGTAGAAATATCGGAGATGAAGGTGGGAGAGGTTTTAGGGGGCCGGTAGAGGAGGAGGATTTTGAGTGAGAGGAAGGAGGGGTGGGAGAGTGTGAGGTGCTCAAAGAGGGGAAAGAGCCAGAGGAGTAGGGGGATAGGGCAAGTGGTGTCCTTGAGATAAGGGCAACACCACCGCCACGGCGGTTGGGGCGAGGGATGTGGTGGGAGGTGTAGCCGGGTGGTGTGGCCTCCGTGAGGGGGAAGGTGTCGCCTGGGGTGAACCAGGTTTCTGTTAAGGCCATGATGTTAACGCTATCATCAAGGATGAGATCGTTGATGACCATGGCCTTGTTACAGAGGGAGCAGACATTTTGTAATCCAATGTGGAGGGAGCGGTTGACAGAAGGGTGTGTGGGGAGGGAGGGGGGGTCCAGGTTGTGAGGCAGGGGTGGGGGGAATGGGGATGAGGGAGGAGAGGTTGGCTCCCTGGGTCTGTGTCTGGGGTGGCTGTCGAGTGTGGTGGGGAATGGGGCAGTTGTTGTGGCTGCTGCTGGACAGCCAACGCCGAGCGCCGCGGTGAGCCCGGCGGAGGATTTCCAGGCTGGAACGCAGGGAGGTTGTGGGAGGGTCAAGTGGGGATGAAGGCGAGAGGGACGGAGAGAGAGGAGGACAGAGCGGGAGAGATGCAGAGAGGGGAAGGTTTGGGGGGAGAGAGGAGGTGCGAGGGAGGGAGGGGGTGAGGGGGCTCGGGTCAGAGCGGCAGTCATAATGCACATGCGGGGACCGGGAGCGAGCGGTCAGGTGAATGGCATTAGCCCATGGGCTGGGGCAGCCAACCCAACAGGACCATGGTGGTCCCTGATGCGAGCCCTGGGGGGGGCGCAGAGGGGTTGTTTTTTTTTGCGCGCGCACAGGGCTCTGTCCTCGGTCCCCTCCTCTTCACCCTCTATATGCTTCCCCTTGGTGACATCATCCGCAGACATGGGGTTAACTGACGTTGCTTCCACGGTAAAGCAATTGGAAGTGAAAAGCCTGAATGGTACTTCTCTCTCCTGATTACATTGGCCATGATTTGAGGAGAGATATACAATGCAATACAATTTACATTTATTTAGCGCTTTTCACATCAGGAGGACGTCTCAAAGTGCTGATATTCAAAAGCAGGCAATTACTGACATTAAAAAATGATCCTTTAACAGTTCTTGAGCAGCCAAGAACTTTTCATTGACCACTAAATTGATTTCCTCCCGCTGTATTTTTACTGCAGCTGTGTCAATTATTGTGCAGCCAAAACAACTAAAAGTGGTCACAAGCCCTGATCTCCAACATGATTGGGGAAATGGATTTAAAAGATCTGGCGTGATGCAATAAACTAATAGAGTTGAATCAAGTTCCTGTGTTCCTATGATTCACTTTCACAATTTGCAGCTCAATTCTAATTTATTCTGTGTAAACCACTAGGAGAGACGTGATATAAATTGAGGCCTCAAATATTAACTCAGTCGGAAAGGAGCTTCCAAGTAAAACTATTCGAAATTTGCTGTGGAGGCTAAAGCTTTTTTGTCTCTCAATAAAACAAGCAGGAAAATAATAAAAATTCCCTGGTATTTCTCATCGTGAGGAGCTGTAATTTGTGAAAGTACTAGCGTGCTGGATCATTGTGTTGCCAGTCAATGTGATTTTGCTTCAATATCCATAATAAGCTTCAGCCAAATGCTGTAGACGTGGCCATCTTCCCTTAGACAAACTTCTGCTTGTTTGGAACATCTGTTTTGTAGTTTATGGCTCCAGTTTGTTTTCAGGACAGCAGTCTGTTTAAACTGTCTAAAGCATAGGCCATTCTTCCGGCAACTGATTTAAAGCTCAGCTTCAACTGTTTGTCTCCTTGACACTGAGGTTCCACTTTTGTACAGTGAACACACACAATGTAATGTGATACAAAACAGTTAGGAAAATAGGAAAAAGAGAAGGTCATATAGCACATCAAATTTTCTTATTTTTTTTCAAAAGGATCTAGCTATCTGGCTATCTGCCTTTTAAATTTTCCAATTGATTTTTCTTCTATTGCCATCTGAGGTAGTGTATTCCACAGTTTACACCAAAAAGTTCAACGAACCTTGTGATATCACGGGGGTGGAGAAGATTTTAGACAAAGTCAGCAAACAGATTGGAACCACAATAAGGTGTTCTCAGGCATGTTACAGGTTCATTTATCGGGCACAAGAGTTTTTTTTTAAATTGCAGTGTTAATTCTACCTAATCAAAATTTCACTTTAAATGTTTGAAATACCAGCAGGCGTCTTGCACAAAGGAACAACCCATGAATAATGCTATAATTTACACACAAAAGCTGCTGAAATTGATGGTGGCCTCAGGTCAATGATCACACAATCTGAGCTGTCACCGCAAGCATTGAAACCACTTTGGCTGACTTGTATTCTGCTGCTCTGGCTGTACATCCTAGCATTCTATTAACTTTCTAACTAGTTTCATCACATTGCTTGAACATCAAAAGTGATGGATCAGTTATTGCTCCTAGATTCTTTACAAAATGTCCCTCGCTTAATTATATTTTATTCATTGTACATTTATGCCCCACACCTTGCAACCTGTGTGTAATACTGTACTTCACGTCTTTCAGTGTGTTTTGCCCATTTTCATAGCCAAACTAAATCCTCACAACCTCGCTTGGGAAGAAATTCCACCTAGGTCTAGATTTGCTCTTATTTATGCAGCATTTTGGATTTTCCACAATTTGACAAGTTGTTGAATTCACATTATTAAACCTCCACCATATACAGATAGTGGTTGAGTGGATCTACTTTAATAGTTTTTCCATTGAAAGCAATGCATACAACAGTTTGCATTTATATAGTGCTCGTTGAATAGTTGTTGTTGTTGTACTTGTACCTTGCGGCATCTATTAAGAGGTTTTTATTTTTACAGCAGACAGTCCTATTTTAATGCACACATTTTGTGCACTTCTAGTTCTGATGCCTGCTCTTTGGCCTGTGTTTCTGACAATCACAAACCTCAAATAGCAGACCAGAGAGTCAAGGTCAATGTCTTGCGCATACAACCAACACATCAAGAATATTGATTTTTGATGAATAAGGGAGGTATTTCCCAAATGATGCCGCATGATACAGAATACTGTTGTATGGACATTCTGCAATGATACAAGAAACTGGCTTCCAGCAGTGCCGAGAATTAAAGAGAATTCTGTCCTGCCCTTGTGTATTGTTTTGTTTGGCTCTCTCGCTTCAGGTCATATCTGTTTATGTTGTAATCCAATACAAACATCTGAGAGCCCGTGAAGGAAAGTGGGAGGGTCTCTGTGGAAATGCTTCAGTGGCCCAAAATTCCACCAAATGATAGTCTGAAAGATTATTTTAGTCTTTGCCCCCAAAACACACACATCAACCCAACTTATTGTATATTCTGTGCAGCTCTCTGAGATGTCTCGACGAACTGATTCACTACTGATTCACTGACGCACTATTCAAATGCAAAAATTATTATTATTATTAATATTTAAGATCATACAGAATTGCAAAAAATTCTTTAACTCAGCCATACTACTTAAAAAGAACCAGCTTCCAAGTTAACAATGAGTTTGAATTTTACACAATTCAGTATGATCTTAAAATTTAGACAAAATCATCCCGGGGTAAAATTAAATAGAATTTCTGGCCTCAGATCTTGAACTTTGTGTTTAGCAATTTATTTTTTAAAATATATAGGAACAGGATTTGGCCCACCATTTATCTATTTGCCTTTTAAATTGCCTTCAGTTGACTTTGCCTGCTCCGCCCTCTGGGGGAGTGAATTCCACATTCCCACCAATAAAAAAAAGTGCTTCCATATTTCACTTTTAAACAGTTTAGCCTCAAGTTTAAGACTATTTTGTGGAGTCCTGTAGCTCAGTGGTTAGAGCACTCGCTTTGCAAGCAAGAGACCGGAGTTCAATTCCAGGCAGGGCGAAACCTTGGGCAAGTTTCCTTACTCCACACGCCTAATAATAATCCCTCCAAAACCAAAAACAATAATAAATTGGTCATTTTCAATCTACGACTGTTTGTGGGACATTGCTGTGCGCAATTGGCTGCCACGTTCGCCCGCAAATATACAGTCAATTCACTTTACAGTGTGTTCTGTGAAGCGCTTTGGGACGTCCTCCCGACGTGGAAAGCGCTATATCAAATGCAAGGATTATTATTATTATTATTTCGTCCTCAATACTTGCTCAAATGGAAATAATTGCTCACTTTTCAGCCTGTCAAATCTCTTCATAATCTCTGCCAGATTACCTGTCAATCTCCTGAACTCAAGATAATAATAATAATCCTTGCATTTGATGTAGCGCTTTTCACTTCTTCTAGACGTCTCAAAGCGCTTCACAGAATATACTGTAAAGTGAATTGACTGTATATTTGTGGGCGAAACGTGGCAGCCAATTACGCACAGCAGTGTCCCACAAACAGTCGTGGATTGAAAATGACCAATTTATTATTGTTTTGTTTTGGAGGGATTATTATTAGGAGTGTGGAGTAAGGAAACCTGCCCAAGGTTTTGCCCTGCCTGGAATTGAACCCAGGTGTCTCACTTGCAAGGGGAGTGCTCTAACCACTGAGCTACAGGACTCCACATTTATCCATTCTTTCATCGTAATTTAGGCCCTTGATAACAAGAATCATTCTAGAAAATAGATGCTGCAGCCTCTCTCAGGCCAGTGTAATTTCTAAGGAATATAGTGTTTGAATACAGTGCCAATATTGTACCTTTGGTGAAATAAAATAAGGTAATTGATTTACAGTCCAACTTTGTACGTGACATTTTCAGCTGTATTCAGAGGATCTGGGCTTGGAATGTCAATAAAACAATTGATTTGAGCAAGTCTATACTGGAAGTGACACAGAACAGCAACAACAGCACATTTAAAGAAAACCACAAGGGATATCCTTGAAATTGCTGTTTATTTGTGCAACCACTGGCAGCCTAGCGAGTGTGTAACATAGGAACAGGCGGAGGCCATTCAGCCCTTCGAGCCTGTTCTGCCATTTAATTAGATCATAGCTGAAATTAGAAGGGCACTATGTAAATGCAAGTCGTTATTGTTCTGTACCATATAATACTCTTCCTTCACTTATCTGTATTTACATACTCCAATCAAATCTGCTAAAATAGCCACCCTGACTACTCCAGTAACTCCTTCTGCAACAGCAGAGGATGAAAGTGGACCACTTCTCCACTCGCCTCTTGGACCATATTACACAGTAGGGCAAGTGTGGGAATTTTAAAATGAGGGGAGAGGTCAGCATTAATTTTAAAAAATAATGAACCATTGAAGCAAAAGAAAGGTGTAAACACCAACCCAGGTGAAGGATGACCCTGTGTTTTTGAGAGGCTAGGTTTAAAAATGCACTTTTGCCCTGCTCAATGTAACACGCTGCCACAGTGCACTCATCAAAACGAGGGCTGCTTTCCTGGAAGATGGTCTCACGTTGTGTGACACTGCACATTTTTATTCTATAATGTTATTCTCGAATCATATTCCAAAAGTATTTAACATTTCTGACACATATGGATGGGCCAGTTGAGAGTGGATACAAGAGAATTGCAGAGACCCTGTTTGTTGATACTGGAATGGTACTGGAATGACCTTTCTGAGTAACTCTTTTATTTGTCTTCAGGGAAATCTTACAAGAAATCCAACGTCTCAGGTTGGAACATGAGCAGGCCTCACAACCGACCCCAGAGAAGGCACAGCAGAATCCTACCCTGCTGGCTGAATTGAGGCTACTGAGGTAAGACAACAAAAAAACAAAACTCTATACACCAGACATGGATTTTTATTCTGAATGTGTACTGTCATAAAGTGCTGATCCCTGCAAGAAAACACAGTGCTGCAGAATAAATTTTGCAATTAATTAAATAGCGGTAAGAACTGTGAAACTCTGTAAAGTGGGAAGTGGAAGGGAGCACGTGGTGAAACTAATTTTGCAAAAGTGCTCAGCAGACCTGATCAATAAAATGGAGCAATTGGCTTCAAATTAATTTTGTGGGCGCTTTCATTTTGCTGGAATATTAAATGTGAAAGATGCATAACGTGACATTAACTGCGCCTTTGTTTCGAAGCAGCAATCTGTCAGTTTCAGAATGCCTACATAAGAACATATGAACATAAGAATTAGGAGCAGGAGTAGGCCATCCGGCCCCTCGAGCCTGCCCTGCCATTCGATAAGATCATGGCTGATCTTCTGACCAAACTAATTACCTGCCCTATCCTCAGTTATCGTTGGAATTTAGTCTTGTGTTTAATTCACCAACTGTACACAACCTGCATTGCCAGAGAATGCTCCGTATTTACCAAGTGTTCAGAGGTACATTTTGCATTTTATGTTTGTTGATTCAAAAAAAGGTAATTCTCCAAACAATAGTATGTTTTCTTTCATCTGTAGTATTTATAGTATTTATTTATAGTTTATCAACTCAGCAGATGATATTCCTGCTTTTTACACAGGCCAAATTTTACTAATATAAATTGCATCTTTTAATGTAGAAATTCGAATGACATGTCTTCCTTGTCTTCTTTAATAAAATAAATTGCTGCTTATCTCTTTTAGAATTTGTAACCCGCCTGCAAGCCAGGCTTGACAAAACATGAGATGACTAGTGATGACTCAATGTGGTGAGGCTGAGCATATTTAATATTAACAATAACAGCCACAACAACTTGCATTTATATAGAGATCTTCACATGGTGGCAGCATCTCGGAGTACTTAACAGTGGTGGAGTATAACGCCGAGTCGTGGGAGGGAAGAAGGTGACCGTAACCATGGTCGAAGAGTCTTCAGTCATGATCTAAAAGAGGGGAAGGAAGGGACAAGGCAGCGAGATTGGGGGAGAGAGTACCAAAGCTTCGGGTTTAGTGGCTCCAACGTCAGTCACCGGTGGTGGAGCGGAGGGGACAAGGGACAAGCAGGAGGCCAGTGCCGGTCGAGCAGAGGCAGCGTGTAGTGGAGTGGGAAGAAAGCAGATCAGAAAGGTAAAGAGGTGCCAAGGTGTGGAGGGATTTGTAGAAGAGTGAAAGGATCTTAAAATCTATCTGTTCTTTGATAGGGAGCGAGTGGAGCCTGGCGAAAACAGGTTTGATGGGAGCACGGAGTTTAGTGTGAGTGAGAATATGGGCAATGGAGTTCTGAATCAGTTGTAGTTGTGGGCAATGGAGCTAGGGAGACTGATGAGGAGGGCATTGGAGTACTTGAGGCAGGATTTCAGCTGCTTTCGGGGTGAGGTATTAACACACAACACCACAGAAATGTGACCAGTTTAGACCTTTAATGAGACCTTCAGTGAGGGACAATTACTGAGGGAGGTTGCTGTGCCATTGTACAGAGGAATGGGAGTTAATAAAATTTGAAAAATAAAAATATAAAAGAGTATGGGCTGAATTTTATTGAACATATTTTATTTACTGTCTAACAAATAATCCCTGATTTGTTGATGATGGCTGCCTGATTTGAATAATCCCTGAATTTGGTATTCAGTTCAGACCCAAAAACCTTCCTCTTTGACTGTGCCTCCGGTCACTGTCCCTGTCTCCCTGTCTCAGCATCAAACTCGGCCACTGTTAAGCGCTCCGAGACTTGAAGGGCGATATATAAATGCAAGTTGTTGTTGTAACCCTTCAAGAGGAGTTGTTTTAATGTAGGTGAAAAGAGGAGTCATTTTTCAATCCGAGTGAATGAATCATAGAATCATACAGCCCAGAAGGAGGCCATTCAGCCCATCATGTCTGCGCCGGCTTCAAAAAGAGCAATCCAACTCAATCCCACTGGCCTGCTTTCTCTCCAAAGCCCTGCAATCTGGTCCTCCCCAAATACCCATCTACTTTTCTCTTAAAAGTTGTTATTGAATCATTTTTTTCCGGTTCAACCTATCAAATCCTCTCATGATCTTGAAAACCTCTATTAAATCCTCTTTTAATCTTCTCTGTTCTAGGGAGAATAATCCTAATTTTGCTAACCTCTCCTCATAACTAAGGTCCTTCATTCCTGGTACCATCCTGGTAAACCTCCTTTGCACCCTCTCCAATTCCCTAACATCTTTCCTAAAGTGCGGTGCCCAGAACTGAATGCAGTACTCCAACTGGGGCCTATCCAGCATTTTATAAATACTCAACATAACCTCCTGACTTTTGAATTCTATGCCCCTATTTATAAAACCTAGTATCCCGTATGCTTTTTTAACAGCTTTATCTACCTGTCCTGCCACCTTCAGAGATTTGCTTATGTGGACTCCCAGGTCTCTCAGTTCATTTGCCGCCTTTAAGATTGTACCATCTAGCTTATAACTGCCTCTCCTCATTCTTCCTACGAAAATGCAACACTTCGCATTTCTCCACATTAAACCTCATCTGCCACATTTCTGCCTATTTTACCAATCTGTTAAAGACCTCTTGGAGTCTGGTGCTATCCTCCTCACCATTAACTACTTTTCCTAGCTTAGTATCACATGCAAATTTGGAAATTGTGCTCCCTATATCCAGTTCCAGATCATTAATATAGATCAAAAAGAGCAATGGTCCCAATACCGACCCCTGAGGGACACCACTACACACCTCCCTCCAGTCAGAAAAGTAACCGTTTACTACCACTCTCTGCTTTCTGGCTCCCAGCCAGTTCTGGATTCATGTTGCCACAGTCCCTTTAATACCATGGGCTTCTATTTTGTTTATAAGTCTCTTATGTGGCAATTTGTCAAATGCCTTTTGAAAATCTAGATAAGCTAATTCTACTGCACTACCTTCATCCACCCTCTTAGTCATTTCATCAAAAAATTCTGTTAGGTTTGTCAGACATGATCTGCCTTTAACAAATCTGTGTCGACTGTCCTTTATTAATCCATATTTTTCTAAGTGAGAATTTATATTGTCCCAAATTATAGTCTCCAGAAGTTTCCCTACTACTGATGTTAGGCTGATTAGCCTGTAGTTCTCAGGTTTATCCTTCTGCCCCTTTTTGTACAGGGGAGTAACATTTGCAACCTTCCAGTCCTCTGGCACCACTCCAGTGTCCAACGAAGGATTGAAAGATTGTGGCCAGAGCCTTCACTATTTCCACCCTTGCTTCCCTCAATAACCTAGGATGCATCCCATCCGGACCAGGTGACTTATCTAGGTTGAGCACCGACAGTGCCACAGTACCTCTTCTCTGTTGATTTTTATCATATCCAATTTCTGTTCACACGCCTGCGATATTGTGGCATTGGTTGCATTGTCTTCTTTTGTGAAGATAATTACAAAGTACTTATTCAGTACATCAGCCATGCCCTCTACCTCAACAAGAAGATTTCTACTTGGACCTAATTGGACCCATCCTACCTTTCACTAACCTTTTACTTGTGGAGTCCTGTAGCTCAGTGGTTAGAGCACTCGCTTTGCAAGCGAGAGACCTGAGTGAGTTCAATTCCAGGCAGGGCGAAACCTTGGGCAAGTTTCCTTACTCCACACGCCTAATAATAATCCCTCCAAAACCCAAAAAAAAATAATAAATTGGTCATTTTCAATCTACGACTGTTTGTGGGACATTGCTGTGCGCAATTGGTTGCCGCGTTCGCCCACAAATATACAGTCAATTCACTTTACAGTGTATTCTGTGAAGCGCTTTGGGACGTCCTCCCAACGTGAAAAGCGCTATATCAAATGCAAGGATTATTATTATTATTACTTTTCATATGCTTATAAAATACCTTAGGGTTCCCTTTTATGTTTCCTGCTAGTCTTTTCTTGTACAATCTCTTTGCCCCTCTTATTTCCCTTTTCACTTCTCCTCTGTGCTTCCTATATTCTATTTGATTATCCTGTGTGTTTTGGACCGTGCTTGGCGAATACTTGGCACTTGTCTGCATGATTCTGAGCACAGGTCCCTCTGGTGCTCAAAACTTGAATCTTACTGCTCTTTTGAGATGGGAAATAACACTTTGCAACTGAAACACTAGGTGGGGTAAGTCATCAAGCAGAACAGGCACTTTACCTGAATCAACACACCTCCTGGTGGCCAACTGTACAATCGCACAATGAATGCAGGTGGGGGTGGGTGTGGTGGGGGTGGGGGAGAGGAAAGAATGGATAACCGGCCGACGAAAGGACCAAGTAAAATTATTTTATTAAAACTCGCCCTCGATTAGAAAGATAAATAGCTCTGAACACTCCACTGAGCTTTATGTCGCATGTATAGAAAACTGGGAAACAATAGACACCTGAAAAGGATGTGATTATATTAAATCTGTCTTAATTTTCCTTCTCTCTGATTTTTCTGGTAGTTACTTAACTGATAGATAATTCTATCCAGAACAGGAAAATATTGTATTGACACATTTGATAGTTTTTCACATGTATGTATGTCGATTTAGCTGTTTTGATTGATGAATGTCACTAAGAATGTATTTTGCGGTTTAAACAAATTTTTCTCCTGAAGCCCTCCCCTGAGCTCATTTGGTAAAGCCACTACCACAATTGGGAGTTAAACCGAAAGTCTGAAAGGTACGAAATTCAATCCACAATCCGGAGCTGAGATCATGCAGCAAGCCTGTTTTGCTGATATCACCCACTGCATATTTCAACAGACCAAAAGGAGATGCAAGTTGTCCGCACATTCCTACACTTGAGGTTAGATCATTGATAATAATGATCTCTACCTGTATATAGTATAATCAGCTTTTAAGCAGTAAAAGCAGTAAATTAATTCTCTGCCACATTTATTTGCTAAGTCACATAAAACACAACCAAGTGGCACCACCAACCATTACTGTCTTCCTTGACTGCCCTGTGAATAGTTGCCAACGTTGCACAATCTCTATTTCTTAAACACCAAGAAAAAAATATTCTGGAGTATATTGCAAGATCTTAACCCAAGAACAGATTATGGTAGTTAAGTCAAAATTATGGTAATCCTAACATCACTGTGCTTAAGAGTGTCCAAAGCAAGCTGAGATTTCCATGTCTCCAAGCTACACATGGTGATTTCAGTGTATTGAAATGAAATGTGCACTGGCTCCCTGGAGTGATGCTTCCTGCTTACTTAATTTAGTGACTATTAGGCACAGGTTGGCAAGAGCCAATGCTTGGGGACCCCAGAGTGTGCATTTGGGGTACTGCTGGAATCTGGCCAACTAAAAACACACAGCTTGCTATTAAAAGCACCATCTGGCAGGCTTTCCCCACTGCTTATCCAACTAGGATCAGCTTACCTCTTAGAGTTTTGGTTTGCAGGTTAACAGGAACTGAGTAGGAAGATTATCAACTGACCCCAGTTGGTAATCCTGAACATATTCTGTTCCTCAATTAAGAATCTCTGATTTCTCAATATTGGTAGCACCCAAACCAGGCTGAAACATTTTCTTAATTGAATGTGTTTAGGAATACTGCAGTTTTGACCCCCAAATGGTGCCATATAAATAGCTTTCCCATTCCCCAATGGTTTTAGCAGGAGACCCATGATTACTTTATTTTTATTTGCCACAACCCCAAAACATTTGTATACTTTGCCAACTGCCCCATTCAACCATGCAGTGAAGTTGTTGCCATTTTAACAACAGAAAATAGTGGGATATCTGTTTCCCTTTTGCAATGAAAGAACTTAATGTTTAACTGCCAGAGTCTGAACACTAAAGCTAACTGAATAGCAACAGTAGGTATAATTGATCTGTAATAATGAGATCTGAACTGTAACAGCGAATTGAAGATAGAGGACAATCTTGCTGTTTAATCAAGTGGATTATCACAGGCAACAACCTATTGCACAATTATTGCAGATTAATAGAAAAACGCACTGCAGGAGTTGGAATTGTCACAAAAATGTAGGAGCTATTTGCCTATAAAATACACAGTCGCTACACTTCACAGTAAATTCTGTGCTGAGCTTTAAAATGTCCTCCTGAAGTATAAGGGTCCATATCAAATGCAAGGATTGTTATTCTTCTTACTAAAAGCTATTCAACCAATTCAAGGAACAGGTGAAAAAATACCCACAATTTTTCCTCTCAAGTCTCTAATAACAATTTGCATTTATATCGCGCTTTTTACATAGGGTAATTGTCTCAGTGCGCTTTACAGGGCGGCTTTGGAAGCTGAGCAAGAGAGAAGGGGGAGGGGGAGGGTCAAAAATAGGATTCAAGGAAGGACTTAAAGAGATGGGCTTTAAGTCTTTAAATCCATATAAACCCATATAAGGGATTTCACCAGTTAGAATTCCATATATGAACTTGCATTAATATTTCTGTGCAACACCAAAACCATGAATATATAAAGTTGTTTTTTAATCAGTAAGTGACCAACTGACTGAGAAAGATGGCTGTGGGAAATTGAAGGCTGGGAGAAGCACGCTATGCCATAAATCAAGAAATATTTAATCAAGAAAATAAAGGATCAAACACGGACTTATCTGGACTCGTGAGAAATGGCCATTGTGTTATGGAATACTGTTAATTTAGCCCACAAAATATACAGTCAATTCACTTTACAGTTCACTTGTGAAGCGCTTTGAGACGTCTCGAAGATGTGATCAGGATCTATATCAAATGCAAGGATTATTATTTCTTCCTCAAGCCCACTTCACTCTTCCCTTCACTGAACCATGAATGTATCCAGTTGATTTGGACTGAAGTGTTATTCATAGAACTTGGCCAGAGACTGTTGCAAAGACTGATAATTCTAAAGCCCAGTTTATTTTTCTGGAAAGGATTTGTTTCTGGTTGGTTCAGTAATAAACTGATTGGCAGCAAGAAACCTAGTGTAGATTTCCTGCTCACAGTCTTATGGTGGGTAATTGTTAATATTATTAAGGACTCCGTCATGGTAAAATCTCTAATAATATCATAAAAGGCCCCTGATCTTGCCATGATTTTATAAATTGAACTCACATCCCCATCAATTCTATTTTGTTCACATTAAGAATTGGTTTCATTTACACAGTGTCTCATTATACAGTGGAGCCCTGTTATACTGTGATAGTTCGGGGACCAGAAAAACCCAATCATCCAGCCTAATTTTATGAACTGTATTAATATCAAGTTCCAGAGCAAAAAAAATAAAAATCTTTTATATTTCTATAGGACTTTATCAGATTCAAACGTCTCAAAAGTATTTCACAGGTACTGTAATTCTGCAGAGTTTAGTGAATAATTTTAGTCAAACAGGGCAGCTATTTGTGTCACCAATAAGCCACACACAGCCATAAGGTGAATTACTAATCAGTCTGGAGAAATGTTTACCAAGGCACCGAGGGGCAAACAATCTATTTGCGGTGGGGGAATCGGAGGTTATTGAGAGGGGGGGCTAAAAGTAGTTTGTGCTCATTGTAGATGTGAACAGAATTGGCATAGACATCCATTGAGCTAGTCCAGCTTTTTAGTAAATATATTACTAGCATTTTTGACTGTTCGTGACTTAATAACTTGACTAATACTTTTATTGCAGTGCCTTTTCTTTCATCTGCCTTATTGTAAATCAATTCATTGCTACCCTTTCATTATTTTCTCAGTGAATGTTTCTAAGCGCCTAACTATTATTCCAACAGCTTGAAATAAGTGGCTAAATAAATTTGAATTGAGTCATTCTGTGAAGAGTAATGAGATGAGGTATGTGATTCCCGAACTCTGGTAATTGGTCTTCAGTGAGAGCCGGAGTTATTATCCTTACTTTAGTTTTTTTCTTATGACAGCTTTTTCTATACACTGACTGACGGCACTTTATAAATAAATAACAAAGCGGTCAACTCTCTGGATCCTGAAATCTGCCATTATTTGGAGAGATTAGGGAGTAGTTTTCTTTACTTTTTAGTTTCACATGGCAGCTACCTATAATCTTATTTTGAAGAGTTGAGTTTTCTTTCTTCAGCTAATCTTCACCTGCGTCTGTATCCTGTTGGTCCCTTGGTTCACAAAGCATCATTAGCAAACTGTACTCTTTTTCCTTTTGCCCTTAAGCAGCCAAGATGTGTGATTTTCAATGTTCCTTGTCAGTAGTGCCCGGGCCGAGGAACATTTTGAAATAACACATAATAGTCTCTTGGCACATTTCATCTTTGATTTAATGAATTTTTATTCAGCGCCAGAGCCCATGTTGATGTGTGGCTTTGCTTTATTGTTTTCTTTGTCGGTGTTACAGCAGATTGCCGGAGCTGCCCTTGACGTACAGTTAGTACTGAACCAGACTCCCTGAGTGCCTGATTTCCCTAGTGCTTTCCAGCAGAGACTGGCACTTCATTTCTTTGTCTGTTCATTCAACAGGCAAAGAAAAGACGAGCTTGAGCAGCGGATGTCAGCCTTGCAGGAAAGTCGTCGAGAGCTGATGGTGCAGCTCGAAGGACTGATGAAGCTACTCAAGGTAAGAAATACCCCCTGCTGCTGAACACACTTTTGCTTCAGTGATTTCCTTTGTGTGCGGAATTCTGCATTATTCTGCTTTATTGTCCTGGATTTTACTTGTTATGAAATCATTTATAACCAATTTGCCTTTTAGTTTACTGATTCATCACAATTCAGCAAAGTATTTTGTAAGGCTTTTCCCCCAAGCTCTGTTACCTTTGTATTTGGTGTACATGTGATTACTGCATTGTGCTGACTTGCCTGGTTGCCTCTGCTCACGGCCCCTCTAATGAGATGAGCTCTTCAGATGACTGAGGGTTTTTCAGCTCTGCAACAGCAGTGTTCTACAACTGTATGCTTGGGCAAGCGGTTCACACTAACAATTCTCTCCACACCCCACCACTAGCCGGTCACGAGGAGGTGTAGCAAAGACTTCATCACTTCCCAGCAGGTAAAGGGGTCCCTCTCCCTCAACTCCTGGCAAAAGAGCAGATTTTCTCAATGATTAGAACCAAGGTAGTTTCTGAAATAAGGAATGGCTGGTGTTGTGAAGGAAGGATAGCTGTGTGAGGCACCCAAACTGACAAGGAAAGCTAACTCAAAGCTTCATTGTGGAGCATTTACACTACGCCTGATGTTAAAGTAAATAAAATCATAGAATTGAACTTTTCCCCTCTATTCTGAGCCTTCTCTGGAATCTTGTTTTGTAATATTTCACTGTTTTTTATCGGTCAGACAAGTTTGTCAGCGCTTTGAGACGTCCTCCCAATGTGAAAGGCGCTCTATAAATGTAATTTTGTTGTTGTTGTTGTTAGGGCCTTGTGAGTTGCCGACTGTAATTTGGTGCCCTTTTGCCATTGTTTCCACTAAAGAGGGTTGAACAAGCTGTTGTTCACAATAGGATTCACAATAGAGATTCAAAGTCACTAACAGGCAGTATGTCTCAATTAACTCACAGGAAACCCATGAGCTGGCCATGATGTACAGCCAGTTACTAGTAAGATCCTCTGTTAGTAATTCTGAAGGTCTATCACTACTATCTCTGAGATCAGGAGCAGCAATGGAACTGACAATTTTTCACTCTCAATCATTATGCAGAGGTTGGGAATTCCCTGCACAAGCATGTGAGGAAATATATTCCAGTATTGAATCATACCTTGAGGAGAGGAGCAACATCATCAACTTGTATTTATATAGCACCCTTCACACAGAATTGTGTATTGGAACACTTAAAATAGCAATGATGAAGAATTGAATGGATACCTGTGTACTGTATTTTTTTATTTAATAAAATAACCCTATTCCTTGCATTTGGTATAGCACTTTTCAGGTCAAGAGAACATCCTAAAGCGTTTCACAGGATATGTTGTAGCGTGGAATGACTCTGTGGTGTGTGGGCAAATGTGCACCCATGTGTTAATCACACATTTGTGAAAATACCATTGTTCAAGCCATTTTATTCCAACGTGCTCTGCAGGAGTGTAATGCACTAGTGCTTTCCATGAGATAATCCTCATCAATTTTCAGTTTCTTAAGTAGGACCAGATTCTCAGTAACTGCTGAGCTTGTAAGTAAGACAAAGTAAGACCAAGGGCTCACATTCATAATGCACAGAAGTGTTTTGGTCCTTAATTCATCAAACCAATACTGTGACACACAAACACTGATGTGCAGATGCGATGAGCTTCATATCTGAGAATTGAGCCACTTGGGTATTGCATCATTATTCAGAACAAAAATGTCTTTGAGTTGCAAGATATCCAATATTTATATATTCCTGTCAAATATGACCACCAAAACTTGTTTTTCCATCTTCAACAGACACTATTTTAAAACCATTAAAATTACATTCTCTGCAACTGGACATATTTCAGACTTCTTGAAAGCTGGAATCCAATTAGGTCTCCCACCAGCATAGTTTCAATATCCCATGAAGTTTTATGTATTATATATATGTAATATATATATTATATAGGAGCTGAAGAGTATGATATTATGAAATGGATATGTCTGCTTTCAGGAAATTATTATAGTTAAAGTAATTATACTATATTAAAGGATGTATTATTTATAGTGCTTTCTCATCTGTCCCCTTGCTACAGCTATTGACTCATGTTGGTGCATTAGTGCTAGCAGAACTTTGATACCTCACACCATTCATTCATTATATGTGAACTGTCCTTTGGATGAGATGTTAAACCAAGGTTCTGTCTGCCTGTTCATCAGATAGACGTTAAAGATTCCATTATTCAAAATGGGAGGGGAATTTCTCCATGTTGTCCTGGCCATCTATCCCCCAGTACCCTGTAGAATATACTGCAATTGCTTTGAAAAAAATTAGTTAAAGAGCAGAATGGTTTCTGTTGTGGCACATCTTCATATCATTCAGCAAAAGTTAGAAGAGTTCATGTTGACTGTCAACAACAACAACAAAATTACATTTATAAATTGCCTTTCACATCAGGAGGACGTCCAAAGTACCGAACAGTCAGGGATCAGGACCTGAGCATGGGGGAGGCAGGGTTGTGGTGAGGGAGAGCAGAGGCAGTAGGAGGGCGGCTGAAGCCACGGTCAAAAAGGAGGGTCATGAGTCATGCCTTGAAGGAGGCAAGAGAGAGACCAAGGCGAAAGGATTGTGGGATGGAGTTCCAAGGAGTGGGGGCAGAGAGGCTGAAAGCCCGATGATAGGGTGGGTCTAGTGGGAGACATGGAGCAGGCCAGAGCCTGTTGAGCAGAGGGAGCGGACAGGTTGATAGGGGGTGAGCAGGTCGGAGATGTAGGAGGAAGCAAGGCCGTGGAGGGCCTTGAAAGAGGGGACGAGGATTTTTTGAATTCTATCCTCTCAGGGATGGGGAGCCAATGGAGCTGGGCGAGAGTGAGGGTGATGGGGTCACGTAGCCTGATGTAGGACAGGACACGACCTGCAGAGTTCTGGATAATATGCAGCTTGTGGAGGGAAGAGTTGGGGAGGCCAACGAGGAGGGAGTTTCCGTTGTTGAGCCTTCAGGTGACAAGTGCGTGTATGAGGGTTTCGGCGGTCTTTGGGGTGAGTCAGTGGCAGAGGCGGGCAATGTTGTGGAGGTGGGGGAAGCAGAGTGGGTCGTGCATGGCATGGATATGGGGGAGAAAGGACAGTTGAGGGTCGAGCAAGACGCCCAGGTTCCTAGCTGGCTTGGTGAGGTGGAGTGTGCGTCCATGGATGCTGATACTGCCAAAGGTGCGGAGACACTGGTGCAAACCAATCAGGAGGGCCTCAGTCTTGCTGACATTCAGCTGTAGAAAATTGGCTCAAATCCAGGACTTGATGTCTAACAGACAGTCGTTTCATTGAAGCAGATTTCATAATGGAGAAGATAGTTCTATTCTATTAGAGAATAGAAATGATATTGAGGCCAAGAATTCCAGATGAAGAAGAATGAAGAGTGGAGACAATGTAGATATTGGTTTGGTAGCTATGGATTGGACTTTTGAGAGACCTAAAGAAACCTTCAAGAGAACACAAGCAAATGTTGGGGTTTAAACGGCAGCAATTTCAAATGGGATTTCTCAATAAGGATTCCAAATTAAAAATGAGGAGTCTCAAGTTGAAAGTCAGGATTCCGGAAGTATGTCAAACAGACGTATGAAAAGTCCACTCCAGGACCATCTACATTCAGAGTGGAGTTCCTCATATTCTTTGTTCCTGAGATTGATCTTTTGCTGTGAATAAACACACAATCCTGCCTCCAGGCTCCTTCACCTTTTGGTGTTTCAAGAAATCTTATCTTTCTACTGTTTATTAATCCATCTTTTTTTCTCGTCTCTTTTTTCTTTCCAAACGCTGGCTCACGTAGGAAGAGGAGCAGAAGCAGGCAGTAAGTTGCATGGCATCTGATTTTGCTAGTGGTTTTATTTTTCTGTAGTTGAGTAAACCAAGTTGAGTAATGAAATCTAGAGCTTCTATCTGGGGAGGAGGGAATGGTGGGTGAATGGGAGATAGAATTTAAGCTATAAAAATACCAAATGTCTCGGTGGCTCCTTTTTGTCTGCATTAATCACAAAACAAATATGTCTGGTGATAGCCAGCGAGCTCAACAACAACAACTTGCATTTATATAGCGTTCCTCATGCCAGACGGCGTCTTGGAACGCTTAACAGTGGGGGAGCCCGATGATGAGCCAGGGGGAGGGGGAAGGTGACTGAAGGCACGGTCGAAGAGGAAGGTCTTCAAGTGCGACCTGAAAATGGGGAGAGAGAGGCAAGGCGAAGGGATTTAGGGAGAGAATTCCACAGCTTTGGGGCGTAGTGGCTGAAAACATGGCTGCCGACGGTGGGACAAGGAGGCCACAGCCAATCGAGTGGAGGTAGTAGTGTAGAGAGAGCAAGTTGGGGAGATGGCGGTGCCAGCAGGTGAAGGGATTTAAATACAAGAGTGAGGATCTTGAAATCGATTCGCTCTGTGGCAAGGAGCCAATGGAGTTTGACAAGGACTGGGGTAATATAATAATCCTATAATAATAATCCTTGCATTTGATATAGCGCCTTATCACATCTTTGAGACGTCTCAAAATCCTTCACAGAATATACTGTAAAGTGAATAGACTGTATATTTTGTGGGGGGTAATGGAGGTATGGAGAACTAAGTAACGCATAAGCAAAGATGATACTGCTTATCATTTATATAAGAAATAACCTATAAGTTGTATAGAATTGATGTATTGCACACAAATCAGTAGGGCTTTCGTGGCCATTTGTCAGGTTGGTTCGCAGTCTATAATTGAGCAATGTGCCACATGAATTTGCTTTGAGGTGAGCTCTTTCAGGAGGTTAACACGAGAGAAAATAGTGGTTTTGCTTAGAGAACCCTAAAATTTCTAATTAATGGACAATTAATGATACAAATGTTGTAAAGTTTGTACAGTCATTTATAAACCTTGGTTATTTCAGAGTAATTTGAATAGATATCACAAAAAGTTTAAAACTCTTTTGAAAGTTTCTCATTGCCAGCAAATATTTTAAACCTCTGTCTGTTTTCTCTTTTTTTCCCTAACCTTACCCTCCTTCACTTTACTGTGGCTGGTGCATTTATCTTGGTGTTTTAATTTCACTGAGTCTGTTACTGTTGCATGTTGAACTTAGCTTTCCTACAATTCTAATGCATAGCCTTCCTACCTTCATTATCATGCTGCATTCCTATAAAAATGACCCAGCTTCACAAAATGGTCAGTAGAATTACATTGGAATTGTTTTGGAACTTTTCTTTCATATTGGGTCTATCAAATGATGATTTGTTATAAAATAGTAGAATAATATACAATAGTAAAATATAGTACAATAATATACAATGGTAAAATACAATATAAAATAGTGCAATAATATACAATAGTACAATATACAATAGTAGAAAAAATTACATTTATATAGCACCTTTCACATCAGGAGGATGTTTTAAACTGCTCCACACTGCTGATATTTGCAAAAGGGACTGGGAAACAGTAATTGTGACTTCAATTTAATTTGCGATACTTGCAAATGGTAACTGGGATTTCCAAAAGCTGTCAAACTTTGTAAAAGGCCAGAAATCCCAATAAGTTGGGAATTTCAGAGAAGTACAGTGTTTGAGGTGATCTCGGCACTGATCATTCCAATATTTGTAGCCTGGGCCTCCCTGGTGAATGAAGCAAATAACAAGAAGATGCAGATGTCCAGAACCAATCCTCAGAGAGGCTTTCCATCTCATTACGCTTATATTTAGATCTCACTGCCCAGTTGTCTGTGCTTTGCCTTCAACACATCATATTTTATAAGTATAGGGCCAAATTGATAAGGAGTTTACACAATGTGGCAGTTTTGTGTGGAGCAGCCTCCACTCACATTAACTGAAAGTGGCTGTGAGCCATACTTCTCATTACGGTTTCGGATTTTGTTTATGTTCTCTCTGCGATAACCAAGATAATTAATTTATGTGAAAAATGACAGTAAAACATTCTGCCTTCAGGCACCAGAAGCGTTTTTACAACTTTGAAAAGTAATACTGCTGCAGCAAAAGTACATTGCATAGCCTGGCAATGTCAGTACACTGAATAATAATGATGGAGTGTAAACTGCTAAATGTTAGTTGACACTACTGAGCCAACTGTGCCTTTTAGTAAGAATCAAACTGCTTTTTTGAGTACCATGGCATGTCCTCTCTCTTGGCTATTGGGTCCAAAATGGAGTGATTTCAAAACAAGATTTCTTAGTTAAGATTATTATTATTAAGATAATAATCCCTCAAGAAAAAAAACCAATAACAATTTGGTCGCTCAATCCACGACTGTTTGTGGGACACTGCTATCCGCAATTGGCAGCCGCGTTTTGCCCACAAATATACAATCAATTCACTTTACAGTATATTCTGTGAAGCGCTTTGAGACGTCTAGAAGATGTGTAAAGCATTATATCAAATGTAAGCATTATTATTATTAAGGAATCGGAGTGTGTTGACATGGCAACCTCCTTCCAATATGATGCATTTTTGGTTCAGGGTCCTGCAGGGCGATGTGACATGCTGTCAGGAGGAAAGTTAAGGAATGCTGCTGGGAATCAGTGTTTTACACCTTTCTATAGGGAAAGGACTGCTGGTCAGAATTGGCACTTAGTGCTCTGCAATTTTGATATGCATGCAAGGACGCTGAAATGAAAGGAAAACAGCTTTAAAACAGAATAATGTTGTAGATATTAAACTGTGCAGTGCTGCATTGTTCACAGTGTCTGCTCATGTGGCTCTGGTGCACAGTTCAGCCTATTTAGATTTCATTGTTTCTCTCAAAGCTCAAAACTACACATGCATGTCTACAACTGTAAGGAAGCATTAAGTATCCTTGTTTTTGGCAATACAATCTATTGCTCATAGTCATGCAAATGGGAATTTGTGTTCAAATGAATGCATTTCCTTTCCAGCATTACTGGTGTTGAAATTGTCCTTCTCAGACTAAAAGCTTAAGCTGGAGTGATAGAGAAATTCTGCAGGGTCCAATTCAAACACCGAAGTTTTTGTTCATTAACGTCATTAGATTGCTGACTGTATACAGTGAATTATTTGCTTAAAAACTTTATAAAATCCATTTACCATTAAAACAAAATCAGTAACTGAATTTAATTCCCCAATTGATTTGACAGGAGACAATAGGAAATTGTATTGATTGTCTTTTGGATCATTTGACAGTTTTGATGTTTTTTAACAATTTAGATCAAACCCTTAGTTATGTTTAATTTCTAAATTCATTTGGCTCTTGTATACATCTACATAGGAAGGTAGGAAGATAGGAACAGGAGGAGGCCATTCAGCCCTTCGATCCTCTTCCACCATTTAATTAGATCATAATTGATCTGTACCTCAACTAATCCTTTCAATTCCAAATTGCCGCTTTCTCCCCATATCTTTTAATACTCTGACCTACCAAAAAGCTATCAACCTCATGCTTGAAGGCGTAGATGGATCCAGCATCCACGACCTTTGGGGGAGAGAAATCCAGTTTTCTGCCACACTTTGAGTGAAAAATGCTTCCTCACTATACTCATCTATAGTGAAACAGCTTTTATTAAGCAAAATAATGATAAATGACTTGCTTCCAAAGTAGAAATACCATTTGAGGTTAATTTTAAACTTCTGTAGAGACTAGGCTAGTCTTTATTGGCTTTATATTTATATTTATTTATAATGCAGTGCTGCATTATCCACATATTTATTACACTATAGACTAGGGCTATCTGTACACACCATCAAGGATTCCCAATGTAAATTCCTTCCAGTGATTGGAAAATTAGTTAACAATAGCACTAAGGTGTAATTAATATGTATTCTGAGCATAGCCTCCAGGTGCACTGCTTCATCTTGTATATATATGAATTATTAGGAAAATAAATTAATTTTCAAATACAGCAAATTATAGAAAAGCAATAATTCAGTCATGAATCCCCACCCCACAGATCACTCTCTCTAGCTTTGTCTTGTATAATGTGTGTACGTAGATTCAGTTCCCGCTAAGTTAATGTGTTAGCTTTAGTTTCTATTTCGGTTGAGGTTTATGTTTTGTTTCATTAAAATGTTTAATTTCTGTTTACAGTGCTGCCTGTGATCTTCCTGATGCAAAAAGATTGCCGTTGAGCCAGGCTGTGTGTCTGCCATAGTCTTTACCTCTAGTATTTATTAAAACTGAAGTGCCCCATGATCTGCACACTTAAATATTATTATTCTTTGTATGGTTTTCATCACTCAGCTCCAGCTGCAGACTGTATTTATATTGTTTTTCTATATTTAGAAATATATGTTCTGGTGTCACGTTCCAGAGCACTATTACTCCCTCCCACCACTAAATTCTCAACATGTTTGGGTTTATGGACCACACCTTCAAAACAAAGATTTGCATTGTTAAACTTTAGATCCCCTCACGTTGAAGCATTTGAAAAGGGATTGGTTAAATGCTTGAGGAAAATTATAATAAAAGCTATAGCAAGCAACCAGAAGAATGGGATTGGAATGGATTTCTCCAGTGAGCGAGCCAGACCTGCTCAGACTTTGGGCAAAATAGCCCATTCTGCACTGTGAAGTTTCTATGATTCTCCTGCAGGCAAGAGACTCTCGCACACTTCCTCCATCACCAACAGACATAAGTTACAATTCACACAATGAGAGCATTTAAATTAGTCTTTCCCCTTCCACACAAGATCAGAAACTCACTGGTCACAAAGTAGGTTATCAAACACAATTCTGGCAAGCTTCCCACTCCTTGACCAGTTCAGACTATAAGGGGTTTGGTTTGCAGGATTAACAGGAACCGAATGGGAAGAATCCCGGCCCCTATCAATTCCTCCAATTCTTGTGGATGAGCAA